AGTTGCTGATTATCATGTAATTTTTCGAACTAAAATAGCAATTTTTGTATGTTAAGGAGTTACTATATATTTTTACTTCACAGTTATTGATATGTTTCACAGGGCTCTAGTTAGATCAGATTATAATATAAACATAGTGATTTTCCAATTGTAAAAGTTGATTTTCTTTTCAAAATAATTTAAAAAGTCATGTTACTGATATATTTGCTTTAAATCATGTAACAGTATTTATTAACAGAAATGGAATGTTAATGTATGTTCTCAGTGGTTTTAATTTGCTAAACCAGACAGTTTCTCAAGTAATAATTGTCTCTTATGTGAACTGAGGAAAAATATAATTTCTAGCTTTATTTTTTCAATTGGTAATTTTTCTTTTTACTAAATGTTAAGTATCGATGTAATCATTTATATAATAATAAATTACTACACAATTTTATGTCAACACATTGTTATTTATTATCTTAAACTGTCTGGAATTTATTATTAACCGATTGCGCTTATGTAAAATTTACTTGCTTGGAAATTCAGCTTTTTTGCCTTTTGGCCAATCTCATCCCTACTAAAAATGGTCAGTTTTTATTGTTATATGAAATATCACAATAAAATAAAATAAAAATACTCTTTAAATTAAAGTACATTTTATGATAAAAGAAATATATGCGTGTATTTCAGATTTAATTGTGAAATAATTGTATTTTTTTGTATAGCTTTTATAAAAAAACTTTGAAAAGAAATGAGTACTGTCAGTTTATGTTTATATAGACTACATTAAAAATATTAATTGAAGACTGCTTTTTAAAACAAATTAAAAACTGCTTTTTATTATTAATTAAGCAGTATTTTTATTTTGTTTTCTATTTATCAAAATTTAAACTCTAAGTAAAATTAAATAAATAAATAAAAAATCATTTATCGCAAGATTTTTCTATCATCTGATTTATGGACTTATCATCTGATTATCATCTGATGCATTAAAGCATTCATTTACTGGGTCAATTTAAAAAAAAAAAATTAAAAAAAACTTATAATATGGTGTTTTTTGTGCTTCAAAAAGATTTTACTGTCCCTTGTTATTGATTTTATTCTTCCCTTATCGAATAGATTTTATTACTGCTCCAATTATGAATTCATTTTAGAAAAATAAATTACAAAATTTGCTCTATAATAAAACTATGAAATTTACAGACAATATGCCAATATAGTAGCAAAAAGATTTCTTAATTCTTTTCACTTAATCTCAAGGAAAGGTTTTAAATTTTGATATTTGAAAAATAAATTTAATTAAACTCCAAAAATATTATGACAATAGAGATAAGTTATTAGCATTGTAAAAATTGCTGTATGTTTTGATGCCAAAAATTTATATATAATTTGATAATTAAAGAAGATTAATAGGTCATATTGGAAAAGTCTTTTTAATATTTTGTAAATAGTTTAGATTAATCTTTTTTATCAATAGTAATGATTCAAATTTTTCTCTCAAGAATGGAAAGAAGAAGAAATCTGGTACTAAATCTTCGAAAGCTGCCAGCCCTGTCCTGATCCTTTTAGAATTGTCTAAAAAACTTGGCCTAAATTATTTAGCTAAAAGGTAGTATACTTTCTTATGTATGATTATAATAATCAAATAAAATAATGACAATAAAAGTATTAATGTATTTCGAAAACAATGGCATGCCTGGAGCAAACTCCTTGATTAAATTCTCCTTAAAATGAAGAGAGTAATAATATAATATCTAGAGGATGCGGAAAAAAAATGAAAAACCATTAGATTGATGTATAATCATTAAATTCTAAATTCTTTTTTAGTAAATGTAAGTGGAAATTATTTTTTGGTTAAAATTTATTATTTACAGCAAAATTTTGTTCTATTTTCCTAAATGTCAAAATTATTGAAAAACTTAATGACTGAAAATTTTATTTCTTAAATTGGGAAATCATATTTTATCCTTCATTACCAGTTTTACTTTTGTTAAGTGTTTGCCCAACTTATATATATATTATTTAGTTATAACTTTGTTACTGACAATTCCATTATTACAAGATAATTTGATTTTTTTTATGTACTTACTGACCTGTTCAACTATTAGTAATCAATTCATCTTCTTGTTGAAAGTTTAAATAACTTGGACTCTTCTCATGCTGTAAAGAACATACATTTAAACAAAAATATTGTTATAGTATTTGCTACACGCATAAATTTTTTGCTGATTATGAAACACAAGAATTAAGTTTGTTGCATACATTTTTAAGCAAAGCATTTATTTTATTGTTTTCTTAAATTATTATTATCATTATGTTAATCTATCTTGTCATTGCATTTAATTTTTTTACAACTCAAAAAAGTGGCCATCTGCCTTGCTGCAGGCATGTCAATAATTCAGTTTGTTTCAGATTAGAAAATGTGAAATTGATTGATGGCAGAATTTATACCTCTGATGCTGATCCTCCAAAGGACTTGATCTTTAAAAGAAATTATTTGTAAGTTTTTTTTTTTTTTGTTCTTCCCTTTCTCCAAACTGATTCATCTATTATTGTCTTTATTTATTTACGTCATTTATTTATTATATTATTATCTTTATTTACTCTGTCTTTATTTATTTACTCCCTAGATCCACCTTACATGATGCTTGTTTAATCTCTTCTGATGGAGTTGTTTTCAAATGTCACAAATGTATCCTGATAGCCAGGCTTGACTATTTTCATAGTATGCTGAACACATGCTGGTCTGAGGTAAATATACTTCATTTATTTCACTGATCTTTTCCATTTATAATTATTCCATGTTCCTGACTTTAAATTGTTTACATGTTTAAATGACATGTTAAATTTTCAGACTGCAAATCTGGAACAGATAAATTTGCCTATTCCATCTCAAGTGTTGGAAGCCATTTTAGACTACCTTTACTTAGATGACAGTGCTAAAGTCAATGGTATTTTAACTTTATGATAGTCTTTATTGTATATTTTTAAATAAATAATAAGTGTTTTCTAAGTATTGTTTGCTAGTTTCAAAACTATTATTTTATTATTGAATGTCACTATTAAAGAAGACGTTTGTCATAACTCTCTTGAATAAATTTGAAAAGTTTAACTGAAAAACATATTAAATGACATTTTGGAAACTTGAATGATCAACTGGAGGTATTGAACACTCATTTGATGGATTAAGTTTTATGTGTAGAGTTGTTTTCAATTTTAAAAAATTGAATTAGGTTTTATAAACATTTTCTTGATATATTTATAAATTCTGACATTCATTTTCTTTTAATGGCACTAAATATTTTCTTCCGTTAAATTCTTTAGTGGCCGTTTTACTAAGTTGGTAATATAAGTGCAAAAGTAGGCTAATGCATTTGTGATTTAAAGGAGAGATTATTATGTTTCAAAATAAAAATTACCTCTCACATAATTGAACAGTGCTATGCATCAGTTTCAGATATTGTTGCAAAATAAAAGTTATTAACTAGCATAAACATAGTTTATGTTTTTACTACTAAACGCTTTGAATCTTCGGAAAACATTCACAGATATTTTTTTTTGTGTTCAACACTTTTTAGCCAATGTATAAAAAGAGGTTGATTCACTATTGCACTTATAGCCTCAATTGATACAAACTAAAATCTAATACCGTTGTACATATATTCATTTTTGTAACACCTGATGACATAGAATATTTGTATTAAGCATAACTGTTTTTATTCAGTTTGAAAATTAGTATAAACATTCAAAATGAAGAGTGTATGAATATCTTGTGCCATATACTTATTTTTGTTTGTTATTTTTCAGCATCTGATGATGTTAATTATCTTTCTCAGACACTCATTTTTGCTGATCAGTTAATCATTCCTGTATTAAAAGAGATGTGTGAAGTATCTTTAGTTAGACTTAGTACGTTAATCAATTTCATTTCTATTTCTCATGTTTTTTTATTCATTTTTGGTTATAGCAGTTTAATTAAATAGTCAAACCCCATGTATTAAATATGGCATATTACAAACAATTTGTAGGATTTTTCCACCGAGACCTAATGTTAATAATATGTATATATATTTATAAGGGTGCAACTATTATGATTAATTCATAATTATTATGATTTCGTAGTCAAGATTACAGTCTTACTATTAAGTAATAAAAATAACTCTTTTTGACAATATTCATAGTAATCTGTTTAAAATAAGTTTTTTTCCCCTAACCAAAATTTATGAAATTAAGTTGTTTGCAATAAATTTACCATAATTTTGTTTCTACTCTAACAATTCTGAAAAAAAAATGATCTGATAGAACAAAGAAATAAAAAAAAAGCAAAGGGAAAAAAATTTTAAAATGATCTGGTAACAAAGAAATAAAAAAAAGTTAAGATATGTCATCTTTCTCCCTTCCAACAAACTATTCTGAAACTTCATTTTCTTTTCTATTCCATAGAAAAGCAAAGAATTTTTTTCATAGAAAAGCAAAACAATATAAACTTAAATATGAAATGATGTGAACAAAATTTCTAGTGATTCAAATGCAAGATAATTAAAAGGTAGAGATATGAATGGTTACAAAATAAGTAGAGATATGAATGGTTTCAGAAGAAAGTTAGTGGTTTTTTTATTCAGTTATAGATGTAAAAAGTATACAAGATTACTTGCTATTTTTGTTTTGTTTCTAAAATGTATTAAATAAAGAAAATTTTTTTAATAAAACGAAATTATTAAAGCCATTGTCATGAAAAGGTAAATTTTGGGTCAGTAAGCTATAAGTTTCCAGTAAACAATGATGTGTCATATTAATTTTTCAAAAAATAAGTTCAGTCTTGAATTCTTCTTAGAGTAGCACCCATTTTGTATAGGGAAAAAAACTAAACCAACTTTTTTCAGTTTCTCATATTTACATATTTTAACATTTATCATGAGTTATTGAGTAGAATTCGACATAGTTTACACTCTTTAATATGATACCCCATTTCAGCGACCATTTCATTTTAATGACCAATACGTGAAGTCCCATTTGCTATTTCATAGATGCAATGTTATTTTAAAGTCTATTAGAGCTTCCATACTGAACTATTCATTCCAATATAGCAATTTAAATTTAGTCATTAAATTTTGAATAAGTTATGCATTGCTTATATTTTTTCTTCCTAGTTACCTTAAAAAACTCTGCAGAGCTTCTAGAAATTTCATCTTTGTACAATGCTTTACAGTTAAAGAGATCTTGTATGCAATTTATTTGTCTCAATTTAGCTGCTATGATAGAATCTAAGTAAGTAAATTACCCTCAGTATTTATCAATGCTTAACTATACCATTTTCTAAAATAAGCAGTAAGAGGCACTAAAAAAATCTAATTTATGGATAATTATTTCATATTTAAAATTTGTTCTACACTATTTCTTTTCTTAGTTGTAGTGTCATACCTGCCGAGTCTCCTGTATTTTATGACTATCTGCTGTTTACCCATATATTCTCACATTTCTCCGTATTGTTGAAGAAATTTTTTAAAAAAGATTTGGAGATAAAATATCTGCTGATGGCAAAAATACTTCTCTTATTCCTCAACAGCTAGTGCTATAGTCAATACTGCAGTATGTTGAGTGATTATAGTTTAAATAATGGTTTAAAAAAATCTTCTTTAGATTCAGAATTACATCTATATTTTTTTTACTTCACTAAATGTAAGTGCTTATATTATTTCCAATTTTGAATTTATCTTTTTTGACTTAATTACTTATGCACATGTCAAAATTCAAAAATTGATTATGCACACGATTATTTTTGACATGATTAGATTATACATGATGTATCAAAACTTTACTCGTAGCCTAAAAAATGTTGCTAGTAAAATCACCATTACTTTATTTTTCCAAAGTTGGCAGGTATAGTTGTCTATATATATACTCAAAAAAAGCTGACAATATAATATCCTGTTTGCTGATCAAACTTGTAATGAATTACAAGTTATGAATGAATTACGTAATTGTTAATGAATTACCAATTATGTAATGAATTTCCAGTTATTTAAATTTATTTTTGAAAATATGATGTTAAAAATGTAACTGAAATTAAAGACCCTGTTTTTTTCTAAAATAATGAGTACAGTAAGCAGAAACAATTTTATTTGCTAAATAATTAGGTTAACTGTCAAAAATAAGAGGTGGAAAACATTTTAAAATTTGATAAAATTTTTGTTATGAGACTTTTGATGGAAATATATATATGTGTATATTTTTTAAGGAGTTATTGTTAAAATTCTTCTAATTGTCTGGATAACATGTGGATTTGGTACTGCACTGCAAAACTAATATTCGTTTCGAATTATGTGAGCTATTATATTGATTTTTAAGAGAATTTTTGCTCACAAAACATTTTTTCATTCAATGCTGATCATAAAATATTGTTTTATTCAAGCATTTGTGTGCACAAATTTTCTTTCGATTTGTTTTAAATTATGTAGACAATTGTATTGATTGTTAACGAATAGAATTTTATTCAAAGCATCCATTGAAAAAAAATTTAAATCGTTTTTTAGAAACAAAATTAAGAAAAATGCTTCTAAAGAAACTGAATCATTGTTTTAAAATTAATAGAAATTGATTATAAAATAATGTTGGCACTGTGTGTGAATGCATCTCTTATTGTTATTTATTGCAACTAAAAATTTATTCCAGAACTGAAATTTTATTATCTATGTAATATTTCAGAGTTCTTGAAGTTTTGAGTGATGATGTCATGGAGGAATTGACTACTTATTACAGAAATATGGTAAATAAACCCTTTTTTCCATTTAAGTGAAGTATGAAATTTACTTTCTAAGAAGTTTAACAGTATTTTGTTAGAATTTTGGTGTATGTGACAGTTGCAAATTATTACTATTACTTTTATATGTTACATTAGCAGCAACAGTGACGTAATGTGGGTATCTCGATACTGATTGATTGTTGAAAAGTGGCATTTGTTTAAGTTAGCAACTATTCTTTCCATTCTGTTTTGAGTAAGTCAAGCCCGTCAAGTATCAATTCTCTTAAGGGACACATTCTGAATTCTTTCACAAAGGTTTAAATTTTCTCACTATATATTTACTCAGAGACTTAACACAAGGACAGGTAAAACATAAAAAAACTGATTATGTATCGAAGTTTCCAGGTACACAAAACATAAACAAATAATAAGTCTAAGTGAAAGAATTATATTTCAACTAATTTGATATGCAATAGAGCTCTGTATTTAATTAACTTATCATTAATTAACATTCTAACTTATGTAGAGAGACTCAACTTAAATGCTATTCTGCTGATAAAGATTAGCTGACGTCATAGGTCACATGTGTGGATATAGGAGGTCTTCTTGAAGAGCAAGCACCCAATTATATACAAATAATTATGTACTTCCCCATATGAAAATTTCCAATCTTTGTGTATTTTTTTAAGAAAGCACTTTTTTTAATTTGTCATTGAGTATTTTACCTTTATTACTATTATTATTTTTAAATGTTTTTAAAATTTTCTGGGAAAGAAAATTCAAGCAAACAAACCAATTTCTTAGAAAAGACTCCTCAGTTCAATTTGAATTTGGCCACGGGCTAAGATATGACTTTAAACATTTTGATCAATTTCATTGATTAGAATCAAAATTGCTCTTTGACTAGTGTAAATGTTAATAATTTTATCATCAAAATTTGAAATATTTTAACATAATAATGGTATATATAGTGGTCGTTCAAATAGTAGAAAAAGGGGCAAAATTTAGAAGAAGTAGTAAAGAGCTTGCGGAATTAAAAAATGGCAAATCAAGGAGAAAAGTTGTCATGCCACTTTTCTTGGAATCAATCGTGAAACACTTGCATTGTTTTTTCAGTTACGCTGCAGCACAGTTTACATAGTTCATTATACATTTCTTTTTCCTATTTTTTTTCCTTAAACTACAATATATATGTTGAAAATTATATTGTTTTATTGTCAGATTAGAAGTGTTTATAATATAATGCAAAAAATGTTTCAGGAACTATCCCATAACCTTCAAAAAATAGCAAGGTAAGGAATATTGGGCAATGTGCATTGTGAATTCTTTTAAACAAGAAGCACAGACCAGACAAGTATACTGTACAAGGTTCATTTATGAATTACCGAATGATATATTGCTCTTTTAACATATGTCATGCAACTTCAGGCAATAATTTAATAGAATTAGACATAGTATTAACTGGTTAAAGGTTCTTAAGGCTTAGAGATTCTTAAAGCTTTAACTGACTAGGGATAGAAATCCTCACTTTACCTGGTTCAACTTAGGTTTATTTTTTAATCTTGCTTAATCTGTAACATGTATATTTTTATGTATCTTTACAATTTTGCTAGTCAATATTCTACTTTCATCTGTGACTGTATCAAACACTATATTATACTTATAGGTACCTGGCATGCATAAAAGAAGATTCATCTCAGGTAATGCACCTTCCCGTGAAGATCTGGTAAATCTGGAAAAGCAGTTTCCTGTGAGTGACTTGTACAGTTTTGAGAGATCTAGATCTGAATCTCATGAAAATAGAACCAAAAATAGACGTAGGACAAACTCTTGGCGCTCAGAAACTAAAGAAGTAGCTCCGCATGCTAAAGACAGTGTCAATTCTAATAGCAGCCCAGCTAATGGTAATCAGAATATAATTCTCGATTTTGTGACTCCAGAAACTGCTGAAAATAAGGTACAATTTTTCATTTGTATAATCATTGAAAAATCATCCATTTTGTTGTATACAGTTAATAGACTTTATACCTTTTCAAATTTTGAGTTTTTTTGTTCTTTTCAAACTTGAATTAACCCCATTTTGTCATGTTTGTGAAAAAGAAAAATAACCTTCTTGTTTGCCAGCAATTCTTTTTCAAGAATGCTCTGACTAATTTTATAAAAAAAAAAATCTAATATCAGCAGAGTTGTAACTCTAATTATTAATATCAGTTTGACTTGTTTTCCATTTAAAATGATTTCTTCAAAAGAAATAAAAATTTGAAATTTTCAAACATCTAGTTGCTTAATGAACTAAAAATGATATAATGATTATGATATTGTTAGTTTTACATGGTTTTTTACTCCAACATGAGTTCTTATTTTAAATTATACAATTTTCATTAGATACTCAATTAAATAATTTTTAGATGCATTCAATTGAATTTGTACATAACATGCCTGAAAGTAATGTTTATTATTCAATTTTAAAAATTTTGGTAGAAGTTAAATTTTTATTTTAATGAATGACACAAAATTTTAAATGCTATTAAAATGTTTTGCAACGGTTCTTAATTGTGTCAGTTTGACTTAGTGAAGCTATTCCAGCTCTTGCTCATTTAATATCTATATTCTTTTAACAAAATATTAAAATTAATGCACGTTTTTAAAAATTATAAATTACTACTGAAAAATAGAATGCTGTTTTTTCGATAATTTATTATATAGACCTAGTTTCATATATTAAAAGGTAAAAAAGTGTTTGTTAATATGACATAATTGACAATTAGATGTTAATTATTTATTATGTCAAATAATAAAAGCTCTTTGATTCGTTTTAGCTTGAACCACCTATCTGGCCATCCCCCAATGGCAAAGAAACTAAACCGATTCCCATAAGTCCTAAAGTTGATAAACAAGGGCAGTGGATAATGAAATGCCCCACCTACGAAGAAGTTGCAAGTTTGGATACGATAATGTCAAAAGAAAAGGAATTAATAGTCCTTCAGAAGAAATCAAGGTAAGCATAATTCATAATGATTATTGTTATTCATTGAAATGTTATGAAAAATTGAAGATGAACAATTCTAGTCAAGTAAGCATTACAAAATTGGTTCAGTCTTTAAGTTATTTTACTTTTAATAAAGTTAACTGCTTCTTATTTAGTATAAAATCTATTTGCTCTCCAAACCTCCCTTATTAAAATTGTTCTATATAAGGTTTTGTAATTAAGTCTTTTTTTCTTTTTTTTTCTTTATTTTGGTGATTTATTGTGAGAAAAAATCATCTCATGTTATCTACCACTGACTGTCCAACTAAAGAACTCTTTTTTCCAGAGCATTGTTGGTGGCTATAGTTACGAGGTTTAATTGTTTCAAGTAATTGTATACTATAAGCATTTAAGACATGTTTTTACTCAAAGAAGCAAAGAAAATATTAAAAATTCCCTTCTTTGAAAATTGTTTTTTTTTGTTTCATAAGCAGACTGCAGGCTTTCTTTAATTAAACAAATAGTAGCATATCTTGTCTCTTATAATTTGTGACCGGCAAAACTTGGTGTCGATTTAATTGGAATTAAAAATTGTATATACGAAGCGCTAATATCTAATATTTTTTTAAAACAGTAACACAATGACTACATGTGGAATGTAAGTTTGTAATAAATAAGATCAGACTGCTTTTATCTTAAATATTTAAAAATTCCTTTTTAAAAAATGCAACACTATGTATATCTAAAAAACGGGTTGTAAACTCAATCTAAAATGCATCATTTTTTTTTTTTTTTTTGCATGGGGAGGTATAAAAAACAGTTCTTGATTGTTGACAAAGTTAAATAGTTAACATTATAGGTCTTAATTTGGAGATTTATGAGAATTAATCAAAAGCCAAACTAGGTTTTAATCTATAAAATTTTGCCAGTATCCAACAACTGTTTTTCCAATTTTATTGTAAGAATTTTGTTGTTTTGCTTTGAAACTGCTTCTATGTTTTAAATTCTTTTTTTTTTTTTAATTTAACGTCACTAGCATTAAAATAGAATTCTACAGTTTATAATTTTTTCCTCACTTAGTCACAATGGCTCAAAGGAGTTTGGTAAAAAAAAGGGTTTTTTTTTTAAATATAAAATAAATAATTACAGTCTAAATTTTTTATAAAAAGGTTCCAACGTAACAAACAAGTGAAACGATCTCTGTGTATGTATTTTCTTTTTTATGTTCTTATATTATCAAAATTTTCTTCAGGCAATTATGATTTGAAAACTAATAATTTAAAATTGCAGTATGTTATTACATTATTCTCTATGTTTTAATTGTAGCAGTGTAGCTATAAAACGGATGCCTCATTTGTCACAAAAACAGAAAAAAATGACCAAGCCTATCGGGGACATTCTCCAGACCTCTTGTAGCCCACCTAGTAGATGCCCATGGTATGCATCCATTTGTTGACTTTTAATAACATTAACTGTAACAACACACACTACAACATGGAAAGTTTCTTTAAGATGAAAATATGTGCTTCTTGTATAATTTTGGCCGGAAATAATAATCCATTTTTTGTTTACCACACACCGCTTTCCCCAAAACTCCACATTAAACAGTACTCAGTAACAACTTAGAAAAGGTACTCTCATTGGCAGTGAGACCGCAGACAACTTGGCGTTGTTTGTGATATAAGTTTTATCTTCCTTCCCGGAGTTAGGAGGCTCTAAATGCATTAGAGAGTTCATGAAAAGCTTGATAACTTCTCCTCAGAAACTATACATTATGGACCATTTCTCTTTATACAGACCGTGATGGCTGAAGGGATAGAGGGTTCGCCATCTAATGAGGTGAACCGTGTTCGAATCCCAGAGATGGCTGGTCAATTGAAATTCCCCCATCTGATTCACACCGACTACAGTACTTGCGTAAAATATCCTCAGTGGTAGACGTATCATTAGCCCCTCTCGCCGTCAGACTAACCTTGGAAAGTTTCATAGTTTTCCTAACCATGTAACACAAATGCGGGTTAGTTCCATCAAAAAGTCCTCCATAAAGGCAAATTTCTCCCAATACTTGATCCAGGAGTTTCCTTGTCTATTGGATTGGGTTTAAACTTACAAGGCTACGGAGTTGAAAGTTATTATGTGCCTACTAACGTTCAATACTTGTTAAACAGCCAAACAAAAAAAATTGGGTTGGCCATTTAACAACGATTATTATTATAATATACAGAATAACAAAGTTTCATCTAAAGGACAGAAACAACTTAAGTTTGTTGCACATTCTTTGTTTTTATTTTATCTAACTTGTTATGCCTCCCTTTTTTATATTATAAATGAGGAATTGTAATTTGTGTGTATATAGTCTTTTCTGTTTTACCTACATTGATAAAAAAAAGGAACAATGTAGAGCTTAGCTTCATGTATTTTTTTTAAAATTAAGATATACTCATTACTGATGTAACATTTTTTACTTATATTAAAAAAAGTATGAAACAGTTGCACTAATTAAATCACAGTTATGTTACAAAACATTTTAGACTAAATATACATTTATACTTCGTTTGATGTCATTTTTTTCCTCCTTTTTAGGGCAAAATTACCTGAACAGTCTCCTCCTTCGCCTTCTTTCTGGGATTCTCTTTCTAGACAAGAATGGCCTTCAACCAAGTATGATATCGATTTTCTGTGAATAAGATAATAATAGGAATAATTACTTTTCCTTTTTGTTGATGGTTGATTTTATTGCTAATAGCTCTGGGTAAATGTATTTAAATTCAATATGAAATTAAAATAGTGTAATTTTTTTATGAAAACAATATAGTTATTCAATTAACACATGAAAAGATTTATTACACCTAGTTTTCTGATGATTTACAAATGGGCAAATTACAGAGTTAATTAAACAAATCATGTTTGCAAAATATTGTTTTATCACAAAAACTATAGAATTTCCTCATTTTATTCATTAAAAAATGCCCCAAATTTTTTTTATTGTTTTTAGTATAAAGAATTGCAAAGTATATGACAGTTTCTCAAGATGTATTCAAATCCTTAAGAGTTAATAAATCTTGATTCAAGATTTATTAAATTTGTAGCTGTTGCACAATCTTGTATCTTTTCTACAATTAACACTGCAATGAAAGAAATAAAGTTTGTTGCAATAATATATTGTGCGGCTGACTACCGACAATGTCAACCCATCATCTATCAAAAGGCACCTCCTGGTAGACCTCCTGTCTTATGTACTTGTGAATAAAAATTTAATAATTGTAGTGGTATTTACGCTACTCCCTAACTAGAATTTTATCTGTGATAGCATTCGATGAATGGATACCACAAGTTGATTCATTGCCATTTTTACGAAAGGCTGGGAGAATTGTAATAAAATCACCGGACTTAGAGTGCTGTTCATGAGAGCTGTATTAAGATCATGATTGTGGGCGTGATCGCTGTTCTGTTGCAATTAGCAGTTGAGTGTGTATATGCTCCTGTTGTGTGTGATTGAGACTGGGTAGTAACAGGGTAAGGAGGACGATGTCGCAGTCACAAATAGGAAATCAACTGTTCACATCCATCAAACTAGGCGAGTTCATATCGAGATAGGCATGTTCAGACCACATCCGAAAGTTACCAATAAACATTTATGCTGAGATTATTTGCAAATGCAAAAATATCTCCGTAAGTTTTATTCAAATGTTGTTTTTCTTTGCACATAATTTTGAGCCTTGTTATTCTAGAGAATGTTTCAAGGTTTTTGTTAGTTAAAATGACTATGTAAATTTACTAAAACATTTGGAATTCATGATAATAAAAAATTATAAATCTTAACATTTTTCATCTAGATGTCGGGAAGTTCCATTTTAAAGTTGGTCCTGAAAATAAAAATGACTGCGTTACCAGCCAACAGCTTGTTTCAAACTTAGAGACTAATATAGTATGTAACATAAACATTTTTTTATATGCATAAATTTTAAAGGTTTGAACTAAATGCGATTTATTTAGACCCTCCTTGGAAAAAAAAACTTAACTAATTGTTAAAAAATAGATGTCTAGCATTGTGAAAAGAATTTTTTATATTTTATTTTAAATCTGTCGTTGAACAGCCGACCCAGTTTTTCTGTTTACGACTACTGATGAATTCAACACCTTACCAACTGGACTAAAGTTGGAGACAAAACAAGCATCTCCATCCTTCTTAAACTTCAACTTATTTCAAAGCACCTAGACGTTCATCTTCAGTGGATACCATCCCACGTTGACATCTTTGGAAATGAGCAAGCGGATCGCTTGGCCAAGGAGGGCTGTAGTCATTTAACATCTTCGTCCTCAGCCCTTACCTTTTCAGAGTATCAGTCCAATATCAAAAGCCATCTATCAAAGAAGTGGAGGATCCCCCCTCTCATCATTGGTATGCGGCCAAGGAACCGGGCTTTTCAGTTGTTCATATAGGTGATAGAGCATCTCAAACAGCTATTTCCAGACTGGCAAGTGGACACACGAATAGTCTCTCGTACTTTGAAGGAAGAAAGACTTATGCAGTCTGCTCCAAATGTGAAGCCCAGCAGGCCTCAGCAGAACATATCCTCGACTGTTTGGGCCTTTCCAAGGAGGACTTACATGCTTCTCCACTTCTTGTAATCGACTTTTTGAGGGTCAACAACCTACTGGATCTTGTCTGACTTCGTCAGACAATTAGAGGATAAAAAACAACAACAACAACGACTACTGATGTTCAACTCTGTAGCCTTGTAATTTTAAACCAATCCAGAAGACAAGGAAACTCCTGGATCAGTAACCCCTGAGGTATGATTTGTTATGAGAACATGGAGGACTTTGTGACTTGCCAGATTTAACGTACAGCAGTCACCATTTACAACACGGGGAGTCTTCGGCGATCATGGATCAAACCAACGACTACTTGGACATGGGCCTAGTACCAGGATAGCCAACCAGGCTATCCCGGCCTTGAGAAAATAATTGTGAAGATTTCAGCTACCAAAACTTTCGAGAACTGTAAGGCATCAATGCTTCTTGCCCATCCTTCACCTGATTCTCACTTCGTCTTGCACAAGAAATCTCAGTTTCGCAGTTTGTGGGGCATTGTACCAACTGATTGGTACAATGCCAATCAGTTGGTACAATGATCAATTGGTACCTAAAACCTCTCAGGGTTTTTTCTCTAAAAAAACTTACTTTTAAGGAAATGCATTAGTCCTTATGATCGGTAATCGCTCGAGGTATATTTGTCAATTAAACATTTTAGATCTATGTTTGGAGCACAGTTATTCATTATGTATGCTGATCATAAACCCTTAATGTATGCTTTCCATCAGAAATGGAACAAATGTTCACCATGTCAGCATCGAAATCTTGATTTCATCAGTCAGTTCGGCACCCACATTTGTTTTATTAAAGGTGCAGAAAATATATCTGCTGATATTTTATCTCGAGTTGAAACAATTTGTACTCCTACTGCAGTGGACTGTGACGAAATAGCTGATTTGCAACGTGACAATCCTGAACTAAATTTAATATTGAGTACAAACTCATCACTAAAATTACAAATACTTATATAACAAAAATAACTCGCTGATTAAAACGTACAGAGCGAAACATTTAAAATTATATCTTGGTCGTTCGTTTTGCTGGGATTTCATTCTCGCGAATGTCACCTCGCCGATTATTGGTGCAGATTTTTTAACGCATTATGCTTTACTTGTTGATCTGAAAAATAAATGTCTTATTGATTCAAACACTATTAAGTCATGCAGCTATTTTGCTCACTCTTCCAGTGCTCAGTTAAAACTATTTCTAATAGTATGCCTTTTCAAAACTTATTACAAGAATTTTCGAACATTACTAACCCATCACAAGAAAGGAAATCCATTAAACATTCTACCATTCATCACATCGAAAGGACAGGTCCATTTGTTCATTGTAATCTGACATCCGAAAGTTTTCAAAGCAGTTAGAGCGAATTTTCAACAATGTGCAAAGAAGGTCAGATTTCAAAACGACCAGTTCGAGATTATCGACTCTTAAATTCGGATAGATATGGCATTGCATGATTTTGCGTATACTGTCTAAGGGAAATCAATATATCGTTCGAGCATACTATCATATCCCAGTGAATGAGGCTGATATACCTAAAACGGCAATAGCCACCCCTTCAGCTTATTTGAGATTCCTTTTCTAAATTTCTAACTCTGTAATGCTGCCCAGACATTTCTGCATTTTATGGATTAAATATTTTAAGATCGCCCTTTTTGTTATTGGTACTTAGATGATATTTTAGTCTTTAACAATTCCAAATAGGAGCATATTCAGCATCTCACTGTAGTTTTTAAACTACTCCAAAATTACAGTTTCACGTCTGATGTCTCAAAATGTATACTGAGGGCACCTAATTTTTCTTTTCTAGGGCAATGATAGAGAAATAAATTTTGAATCATCATTATTCCACAGTCTGACAAACTTTTTTAGAATTGAACGCTGCCGAAAGAAAAGCTTTCGCCCACAAAACAGTGGTTTGTTAGAAGATTTTCACTGGCCGCTCAAAGTCGCTTTGCAATGCGACAACAGACTTGATAGATGTTCTACCAGCGGTTCACCTCAGTTTGCATTCCACAGTTAAAAAAAGAATCAAAGCTTCCCCTGCTAAACTAGTCTATGGTTATACTTTAGGCTTACCTGGTGATTTCTTTATTTCAACTCTAAATGATGATCTTAAACAAGACCTATGTCACATCTTGTTAATCCTCAAATTTTTAACATCCTGAACTTAAAAATTGTTCTCTCATATTTATTTGTTGGAACTCTGTTTGAAAACCTTTACCACCTCTTTATGATGGAGAAATGAAAAACATTTCACTCTCCTCATACGTGATAAAGAACAGACTATTTTTATTTACAGAGTACAAACAGCAATTCAAATATGTCCATCCGAACCAAACAAGATCCAAACTCCTCCCTCAACATAAGGGAATCAACCAAAGGATTTCCCATACAATTTAAAGAAACCTGATCAGTATACTCGATCTTGTCGCCGTGTTACTTTCCCTGATCGATACGTATCAGTTGCCCGATACTAGCGGGAGAGTGTGCGGCTCTTTCCTTGGGAAAGAAACTCTCAGTTTCATTCATAAAAACGAGCTACACATAATACCTCCATAATATTCCAAAAAAACACAACCTCCATAATATTCCAAAAAAAATATGCAAATCATTACAAAGTTAATTCTGTTTTAATTGGCAGCTTACTGAAGTAATTTTTAACTGTTATTTTAAATATGTTTAGAGCTTTTTGAATCTATTTATTGATTGTAATATTTTTTTAATAAAATTATTTTGCAATTATTTATATGATCCTTTTTAAATGAATTATTTCATAAAAATTAAATACCTTTTAACCGTACAAGCTTTATAGACAACCACAAAAGACACAGTTCAGGTTACAATTTTGATTATGGTAGCTGGGACATGTTTGGGGAAACTCGGAAAACAATCCCACCATGATCTAAAATCCTGAAGGATCTACCAAGCTGAAAGAAAACTGCCAACTGGATAGTTGAATCATATCAAAAAAATTATTGAGAATAAAAATTGGAAAAGTGTCACTGCCTTAGAAAAGACAGTAAAAAGGGTGTGTGGGTGAGGCAACCAAGGCCTGCAAGTGGCTGTTGTACCTATGAAGAACAAATTTAAGTTAACTAAAATTTTTGTATATCTAAGAATGTATTTCGTATATCTATGAATTTTGTATATCTAAGTTTACACACAGTTAAAATTACACAGTTTAACATGGGAATCAATTTAGATTAAAAAATTACCTATTGTAGACTTTTTTATGACTAAAAAAGTAACGCTTTTTTAGTAGGTATGCGAAAATGTAATTAGCTCTATGTATAAATCAATGAATATAATTTTTATCAGCATTTTTTCTTATATTAGTTTAACGAATTACGGTTCAGAAACTTAAAAAATTACAAGTTATTTTGTTAGTTGAAGTTAACTCAATTCTCTTGTTCTTTTACAGTTGATTTTTAGCTCATGAACAATTTTTAAAAAGCTTCTTTTTGAATTGCTAGATTATATACACATTTTCTTTTAAAAGTATTATAATAGTAATAATAAATTTTTAAACCAGGTATTAATTTTTGCAGCCCATTTTCCAATCCACTGAAATCTTTGCCAGAAGTTAGTGCTAATAAGATAGCTCCTAGTCAAGAGAATACAAAAGATGTGGTAATAAGTCTTCATGATATTCAAAAAGCCGAAGAGCAGAAACAACGGCGAACCCTCAACCCTAAAATTAAGCCTTTGCATCTTATTAATGTGAGTATATATATTATTACGACTTTTCAATCTCATTGCGGTATTGTCAGTATGGTTTCCTTGTACAAGGCAAAATTTACGGTCATCATCGGTCACAGGGCTGCTAAATATTTAAAAAAAATAGTGTTTCAAAAAATTTTCTGTTAGTCGCCACTTTGTGCATTAAAAATGCACCCCATGTTTTCGACTTTTTCAGTGTTAGATTAAGGAGGGATTAATTTTGTTATTCTATACTTCTAGAAAGTTGAAACAAAATGGATGACTAAAAGAAAACGATTTTTTAAGCATAATTATTAACTTAAAGAGCTTTTTTTTTTCATGAAGTTCCATTTAAAAACAGTTGATTCTATTTCAGGATTGCCACGGGCGACTAAAATGCAACTATTTTCAGCATGAGGAGACTATGGCAACTTTTTATGCCTGAAAAGACTAAAAACGCAACTATTTTCAGGAAAAGGAGACTATTAGGAGACTTTTCTGTACTCCTAGCAATGTTTTTTTAGCATAATTGGGTTGAAAACCTGCAGCCCGCGAAATCTTCTGAAGACACTGAATTTCTTTTCTTAGGAAATGTAAAATAAAAATAATAAAATTTAAAAGAATTAAATAAATAATAAGCATTAAAAAATAAAAAGTTTTAGATTGCAAATTTGAGTAATATCTTTTTAATGCGTTCAATTTGCATAGATTCTAAGTCTATTTCATCTCTCGATGGCCTTTTGAACAGTTATTGCTAAGAAATTCTGCATGATTTTAAAAATTCCAATTTTTAATACAATGCATGAATTTTGAATTTGAGTAATCACTTTCCATATATATATATATATATATATATTTGCTAAATCAATTATTGATGAAGGAGAAAATTTCTTAGAAAAAGTGTGTTTTTTTTTAATGAATTCTAGTAATTAAAAGTATTTAATTTTCAGCAAATATACTAATTTTTTTATCTAAAAATTTAGTGCTAGAACACTAGCGTTTACATAAAAATTATCGTATTTGCCACCAACTTGGCTAAATGTATCATGGTTAGGACTGGGCTATAAATC